GACGTGAAATCCAGCAAGACCGCTGCTCTCATCCTTCACAGTGGCTAACACGAGATGCTTCATTCAAGTGAAATGCAGTGAGATACGGTGTAGACTGATCCTTCCACTAAGTCTCATCCCAATCTCTACCATTTAAGAGTAGAGATTCCCTTTTAAAGGTTATCAGCATTAATTGCAACTTCTCCAGACATTCTTGATACATATATGAGGTATCTAGTTTCAGCACTGTCATACAGCTAGTTCCCTACTTCCGAGAAGGCATTTATCCTCTGTTATCAATTTTAAGCCTGGCATCTTTAAACATCATTAGATGATCCCATATTCTTCTGTAGCAGACAACTAAAAATCCTTGCTCATGCCTCCTGTGCTGGAACCGGCACAGAGAAACCAGGAGAACTGGTGCACACTAACAAGCATCTCACAGCCTGGAAGCATCATTAGGAGACCCCTTTTTAAATCCACAAAGCACCAAGTATCTCTGTGGTACACTATGAGTAACAATAATAAGATGCTCCTGAATACTCCAGCAAAAATACAGTAAGCATGGGTTTGAAATCAAGCACATTTTTTTCTAACATGATCAACGAAAAAAACAACCGAAAACAAACACCCTTGCAGAAGTTATCAATGTTCATCAACAGCAAAAGCTATTTTTTTTCCTTTCACTAAAGAAAACAGACATTCAGATTGGAGAAAAGGCTGTTTTACCAAGGAAAGACTTGTCTCTTCTGGATGCTTTTAAACGACACAGAGAAGACTCTATTCTTAGACAGCAGTCCCTCTTTTTTCTTCAAATCTCAGGCCCAAACCAGCACTTCTTATAGAAAAACCAATTTGCATTCCCACTGCAGGAATCAGACCTGTTTCATGCGAGGACAGATGACTTGAACAGTCTTTTACAGGCTTTATCTAATTTATCTTCCTCAAATTTATTGAAATACACACACTCCCCATCTATATCATTCCCAAGGCTCATTAAGCTCACAGGTGTTCTGAAGGCATCGTTTTTCAGACAGTGCAACCTACGAAATATGAATTGCTACATCCATGCTCATTGCATGCACCCATCCCATGCGCTTGCTGTGTGACAGCAAGGAGTCAGACCTGCAGGGGAAGAATGCTGCTGCCCCACGAGAGAGCGGGACAAGAGAACGGCTCCTGTCCAGCTTTATTGCTCTCGGACATAGGTCAGGCAGAACTTTGTTTATTTTAATTCATGTCTTCTCTGTTTTACTTTTGGCCTATGAAACAGTGAAAACCACAGCAGAAGAAAAATACCTAACTTATGCTTTGGAAAAGGCCTTACTTCAAACAGGTTTATATGGGAATCCCGGAGGATGGGTATTTTTCAGCTGTAAGCTACTTCTGCAGAAAAAAATAAAATCAAGTTGGTGATCTGAAAAAAAGGGACAGCTCAAGCAGTATTGATATAAGCTTTGGTGTTATTCCTCCTTGAGACTCGTTTGATAGTGTTTTACTATCCAAAACAACCATTGGGACTTTTGCACAACCTCAGCATGTGGAAGGGCTCATTGACACACAGAGCTCAAAGTTCAAACACATTGCACCAGCAAGGGCAGCCACTGGTCCAAACTGTGGCTGTAACTCTCAGCTGACATATCGACAACTCACCGCCCAACGTGCCTGAAGATGTTCCTCCTTCCTGCCCTCACCCTGACCTCCCAATCCTCACTTCACCTATTTTTGCCTTCTGGAGACCTCAGTAGGGTCAACATGGAAGAACTGCTGCTTCAGTAGGTGCCAGCCCAGGTGATAATTTTGGACAAACTCAAGCCAAAGAGGCAGAACAGATGAAGCAACGGGCAGACTGCCAAAGCTACTCAAATGCCTGAAGGTCTAGACAAGTCCACACAGGGAAGTACAAAAGCACTTAAGCATTTCAGTCCCATCAGCAGTTCTGTGAAACCTTCTGTAAGGACATTTGTGTTTCCTTGATTCAACCATCCTCCAGAGCCACTTGTACTTGGCTGACATGATTTCTAAAGCTGACTTTACTTTAATCAAAGGTGAGCATCTTACCTGTAAGACTGGAGTTGAGACTCATAGCTCCACCCTTCTGGCAGCTGTAACTCACCTCACTCTCCATCAGCCTTCAGCACTCAGCACGAGAGCAAGACTTTAGCCACACTGGATTTCAGCCACCGCTACCGATCGCCTCCCCAGTTGACTCCTCCCTAGCTACAAAGAAGCAAACAGAAACACAACCTCTCTCCTAGAGCTGAGGGCCAAAACCAGAGTGTATGTGTGGACTTCAGCCTGACAGTTGTAAGATTCGAAAGGTAAATTCCCCATTTCAGAGATAACTGAAGATGCCAAGATCTTACCAGACGTTTACCCAACTATGGGTTTACCCAACTATGGAACTAGAGGAGCACTAAGAAATCTGAACCACTGCTGCAGTAGTCCTTTGCCCTGCAACACCTTTCATGCAGGTATTTCCCCAATTGAGTCCCCACCACACCACTTTCAAAATTTAGGCTTGCTTCAGTAAGGAAGCAGGCTGATTCAGTGAGATACTCCACATTCGCATGCCTCTCTGCGCTCAAAAAGCAGCTGAAACACCTCCCAGCATCTGGAGGAAGCAAGCTAAGGAAAAAAAAAAAAAAGCAAAAAAGCTTGCCATAAAGCAAACAACACCCACCCAGCCTGGAAGAGTGCCTACAGCTAAGCTCATGTCAAACAACCATTGCTAAGTTTCTCTTACTAAAGAAAAAGATGGTACTTTGCTTCCTGGGAAAAAATGGTTTTCGGCATTTTGAAAGGCTCATTAAGCTTGCAGGTGTTCTGAGGATGTCTTGGCTGCAGCACCACAGTGAATATCCCACGCTGACTCTTCCCTTGCTGCTCAAGTGCTGGATTAAAGCTTAAAATGTGGAAGGGAGATCATTGTCATACGTCACCCTGGGAGAAGAGGTGGATGCCATGAGGACTGCCACAGAGGTGCTCTCCTAGTGATGTCCATTCGGACACCGACGGAGGAGGCAAACCAGAAACATCCGTACTGCAAAGGCACCCAAGAAATAATGCGGCTTGTCAAAGAACCAGTTTATCTCTACCACAACAGCCCATGCCACCCGGCAGTGGGGAGCTGTATGCCGGTAGAGAAGGGAGGCATGTTACAGCTGTGACTAGGTTGTGGAGTCTCCTTCTCTGGCGACATTCAAAACCCACCTGGATGCGTTCCTGTGTGATCTACTCTAGGTGGTCCTGCTCTGGCAGGGGGGTTGGACTAGATGATCTTTCGAGGTCCCTTCCAACCCCAAACATTCTGTGGTTCTGTGATTCTGTGACTGCAGTGACACCTTCCCTCCAATCTAAGGGAAAGGAGCAAAGACCAGTATTTTCACCATGGCTAATCCATCACTGGCAGACTGGCCTTACTCAAGACCTGTTCGGAGCAGTTTCATTGCTGCCCAAAACCCTTTTAATTTCTTTAAGTGCAGCCATTTAAAGCACCTTCCCTTGAATTGGCATTTCTGGGCTTTGTTGGTGAGGTTTTTTTATCCCATCAGCAAGAACCCTTTAATCTTCGACTCCTCCATGATGGGCACCACATTTACCCACATGTTATTTCAAGAAGATTCCCAAGGCAGCCTGAATAGGGTTCAGCTGCCGAAACAAGGTTTCTAGCACCATTTTGGGTGCCAGACTCCCAGCTGCTGTGGCAGAAGGCTGTACGTCTCCTCTGTGTCCTGGCTCATTCACGCCAGCATATATGGACATGTCTCATCACTGGGGACAGCTGAAGGGGCAGTATGACCCTGATAACCAGACACCTGGCCTGCTCCCTCCATGTCCTCCACAGCCCAGGAAGGCAGCATTCATGATCTGTCGCTCCTTCCTGAAGCATTTTTCATGTGTATAAAATACCCCACATGCACTCATCTGAAGTCCAGGAATGTCTTCTGGCAGCACCGAGTCTGTCACCCAGGTCATTTATCATAAAATATGGCCAAAATGAAAATTGATATTGAAGATGGAGATCATGATTCGCAACCTAAGTATTTGCAAAAAAGCACCCAAAAAACCCAAACCAAACCCCTCCAATTCTGAAACATAAACATTTGAATCCTAAAGAACAAACGAGAGAAAATATAATGGAAAAGGGAAGGATTAGGCAGCAAGCTTTGGTGAATATTTCTCTGCAGCTGCTGTTAAAGTCTCTGATGCGGAGGCAGGCATCTCCAGCAAACAAGCTGTCAAGCAGGCTTCAGTCAATCAGCTCCATAAAGAGAAGAGGATTGCTGGATAGAGCTAGCTGCAAATGCTATCTCTGAGCATTTATATCCTTCGCTGTGCTAACTCTCAGTCAGACTGGAATTTTCCAGTGAATCAATCATGTGCTTGATTTCAGGTGCCTCTCTGAGATGGTTCAAAAGTAAATTCCCCCTAAACTCTTAAAATGAAGCTCCAGGAAAACAAAACAGGATCTTTTTGAGGACTCAAGCCATACATTGAAAGGACAGGCATGTGGAATCACCAAACAAAATTTAAAGCCTCAGATAAAGTCCTCCTTTAGACTCTGACATAGGCACTTACTGCTTTTAGCAAGGGAAAAATGCAAAAAACCCCCATGGAATATTGTCTAGGAAGCATATTGTAGGAGACCAGTGTATCAGATGTGCTGTCACTGCTTTAGTGTCAATTACTGCATTTGTGCTTGATCAGTTTGATAGATTCACCCGCATGCAAAACCCATATTATGTCATCTCATCTGTAAACAGTTTTGAAGCAATCGGGCAGCACAGTTAGAAGGGAGGTGTCCCTCATCACACATTATTGTCTTTCAAGCATTAGCAACCAAATTTAAATTTATGTCAAGTATTCATACAAAAGAACTAGATTCCTTACAGCCTTAACAAAACAAGAAAAATAGAAGAACATTTATCTTAAATTGTTAGGACTAGTGCAAAGCATTAAGTTTATGCTACTACCGTTTCTGAACTCTCCATTTCCCTCTCACCCAGCCCTTTATTTACCTTGAATCCCCAAAGGACTAATATTGCCTCTCAATGCTGGCACATGATGGTACTGGTGTGGCCTTGAACTCCTGTACATCCAGTGGTACCTGCCAATTTCCATTTCTGGTCTGGTGATCACTGCCAATTTTAGGTGGTAAAAAGTCAGTGTCACCAGTAAGTTTTAGTTCAATACTTTTAGTCATTTAACTTTAAAAATAAGAGCCCAGAAAAACACGCTGTAGTTTCAGAACCAAACCAATATAACCTTACAGAGAAGGGAGGGGGTGGGAGGGATGACCAACAGGGAATGCTCACACAGGTGTTAAGAAAGGCTGAATACCTAAAACTCCACCTAGGATTTTAATTAAACACGTAAGGAAGGACTCTCTGTTCCTTCCCTTCACCCATTCTCTCATCTTCCTCTCTTTGTCCATGGAGAAGACCTCTGCTCCAGAAGTGAAGGAAGACAAAGTCATGGAAAACCACATTACCTGTTTTTTTAAAAGATTCTAAATCTGTCAAAGAGAATGGTTATTGTCATGTGTAGAGGGTAGAGCAAACACATGAGTTTGCGCCGTTACTTTCTTACATTAAAAAAAACAAAGTCATGGGCTTTGTTTCACATAGCTCTGCTCACGTCCAACCAAGTAAGTTAAAACAGATTTGTTCCAGGTTTACAATGAAGGAGAGCAGTTATCCTTCCCCTTGCCTTTTCAGAGGACAGATGAAGCTCAGCAAGCAGACCCCACGCACAGTAACACACCTGACCTGCTTCCACACTCACCGCACACTCATCGGCACAGGCCTTCTGAGCCCCGTGAAAGAGGTCACTGGCGAAACAACATCAAACCGCTTTTGACCCTACGTGCCCCCCCTCGGCACCGCGATGGCTTTGTCAAGGCTGTCAGGGGAAGGCATACAGATCTTTATTTAAAATGCACCAGAGTCCCACTCTGCAGGGGCTAAACGAGAAAGTAACCATCATCTCTGGCCAAAATAAATCCGATTCAGCAGCGTTTGGGCATGTGGAGGAAGCGAGGGTTACAATACTGAAAACCCATCTACTGTAGACTAGATCAGAGATAAATTTCAGGGGGCAGGGGGAGTAGGAATGCCATAAACTTCTGGCCTTTTAGGGGCTAGGAAGGTCTTGGAACTAGTAGTCTCTCGTGTGGTTTTGCTGCTGATGCAAGGAGGAGTTTGGCACAGTTACATTTGCATATGTCAAGAACAGAAAAAAAATCTTGGCCTTGAATCCAAATCTTGGATCTGGAGATTTGAAACAAGAATTTGTTCATTTCCTAAATCAGCAAATGTACTCCAATACGAAAACAGTCTTCCGGGTTTGGGATGCAAACTCAGCATCAACGGCTCTCTAAAGGATACTTTGTGGCTTGGTATTTCTCCCCTCTCAGCGACTCACACACAAACCAGCAAGCAGCTATCAGGTAGTGTATTTTTCCTAAAAGACATTATTCTGTTTTGTACGGCTTACCCTTCCTTCCTTTTAGGAAAGGAAAATTCCACATCTTATGAGCACAACCAAATGCAAAATGTGTTGTTCCAAAATGACTCTGCAGGCTCAGGATGACATCATCTCCTTCTGCTCACACAGGAACAATCCCGTCTATGAGATCACAAGGAACACCATAATAATTGATGCAATATTGGTGCAATAATTCCATACAAAATGGAAAATAGCAGAATTCCTTGCTAGTACTGCATACTGCCTCCCCTCTCTCTCCCAACTGTCTCCCTCCTTTCTGAGGCTATTTATTAGACACTGGTAACGGTTAAGATTTAAAAATAAATAAATTAGAAATAACCCGCTGCAAAGACTTCCAGGAAGAAAAAGTTCTTCATTTGTACTGCGGCAGAATCTAGACCAAACCCTCAGCACCAAAAGGATTTTATCCTACCAGGCCTGAACCCACAATTTGACATTTCTCCTGCAGTGGCTACAAAAACTACTTGCTCAGAGCAGCAGAGCAGGCAGCTGCCTTTCTCCCTTCGCCTGGGGGGACTCTGGTGAAGTCACCACTATCTGCTGTGGGACAAATATCAAACCCTGAAACATGGAGATAGCATGTAAACATTGTAGCATCATTTCTGTAAGCGAAAATAGTCTATAAAGTTGGGATTTTTTAATTAGCAATTTCTGGTTTTGCAATAACAGGGCTCCTTTCATTAGGAACCGGTTCAAGCTCCATAAGGAATCTCAGTTTTCCCACTGCTCTGCAAAGAGCCACTTAGCAATGGCTGTTTGGTAGCCCTTACTGCATGCCTGGCACCACTTCTGAAGCTGAAGAGTATCTCTTGTCAACTTCGCTGGGACACACCCAGGCCCGCTGGTGCCAAATCACCAACAGGTCAAAAGCCCCACAGGCTTTGGTGCCGTAATATCTACTGCACACAGCATGTATGAATTAGAGTTTAACTCCGTACCCCAAATAGTTAGGAAAGGAATGGGGTTTAAACGACCTCTTTATCTTTTGCTTTTTGAGGAACTAGCTACGCTAAGTGCATTCCCCGGTCTAGGTTACCACGCTCTCCACGCACAGCCAAGCTCAGGCAGCTCAAGGCCTCCTCTCAGAACCAGGTCTTACTCGATCCCGCACAGAGGCAGCAGCTACAGAACCGACAACCTTTTCGTGTCACACCATGCAGGCACACTGACGGCGGCTGTGGCGTTCCAACGTTCAGCATCCTGCACGCCTGTAATAAAAACCCCAGTGCCCAACAGCCTCACGCTTCCTGCCTTTAGCATATGGTTTTAGAGGAAACAAACAGTTATGACATTCATCTGTCGCAGCTGACGACGCAGTCCACAGGAGCAAAGAGAGGCTCGTCATTTGGTCGTTCATGACCTGGCGAGCTGGTGACGAATACTGCATTAGGAGCAAGGCTGGCCAGAAAATGGGGAAGGGTCAGAGTAAACAGAGGGCACTCCCCTCGGCTTTGCTCCCCTCTTTAGCCCCGTTGCTCCCACTGCAGAGTCCATTGTGCACATACAGTGCCATCTGTGTTCCCCTCACACCCCCTGTTACCATAGCCTTTGGCACATATGTCTAGGTTTTCTGCTTTCACGAGGTCATTCAGACCAGTATGAGTACGTTCTCCGAGTGTTTTTCAACCCACTCCTATTTAGAAACCAAATCCTATTCATTAAAACCTAAATCACTAAGCCTGCCAAATTATTATCCCCAGAATATCGCGTGTCCCAGATTCTCCCTGGGCTAGACCTCTTCCTACAGTCATATTCTTCAGGGACTTATACTTAAAGCAGTTACTGTCTTCAAGGGATCTGAAACACCAATGAACTGCTTGAAATGGGAAAAAAAATACGCTGCTTGACAACTCTGGTATCACTGTGTAAGCGTAACATTAAGGGGGTAGGTTTGAAAAATTTGGTTAATAACCATAATACGTATAAAAAGGTGGCAGTTTTTTCAATTTGCTGTAATGGAAAATACATCTATCTGTGATGCACCAAAATATCATAAGGTCACTGAATAAAAAGAACTTCACTAAAGTGAAATAAATCGCACATAAATCCACTCCTTTCTCACGTTGCACTTTAGCAGCTTTATTTACACTTTCACACACGGTTGTACAGTTCTGTTTAAGAGAAGTATTTTCTTTCTATTTTTGACTATATACTTGTGTATTTAGAGTTTAAAAGTTGAAAGATCGCTTCATATACAATGAAAATAATAAAGCTCACAGCCATTCCTGAGCACGAGGTCTTCTTTCATCGAGAGCACATTAGTAGGGAAGAGCCAATTAGAAGGAACCTTCAGTACAGCTGCTCAGGCTGGTTTTCATTATTCCTCAGCACAGCATATGCAATTTGAACGTCATGTGTATTCACATGAGGAAACTATATCCTAGTGCAACAGCTTTCTTCCATCCTCCCATGTGTAACCGGTGAATTCACTATGGTCACCCATGGTTGGGTTTTATTTTCTTTTGTTTTTAGAATTTTGCAACTTGGTAGTATTTCTCATAGCTAAATAAAAAGGGAAACTTCTTGTCTCTGTTAATGTGTATCAGGATCTATATCCTTCACTGCTGATGCAAAACGGCATTTCGTTTTTCTTATTTATTCCACCTCAGTAAATCTGCCTGCCCAGTCCTCACGTTTTGATTTAATTTAATGCCTGCAAGATAAACCCTGTCATTTGTAATAATTTGTAAACCTTCATCTTTAAAATGCATCCAATCTGTCCTGCAGCCCTGTAAAGTATCTGTTAAATATTTTGCTTCAGCTTGCTCATGGTGTTCTCCTCTGATAAGGGCTGCTGATACACAGTATAAAGCTGACTTATTTCTTATCTCCATCAACATGGGTGTTGTTCCATTTCCAATTAAAAAAACTGGGGCAGCAGCCACTCATCTGGGTGCAGAGAAACAAATGTCTGATAAACACTGAATCCATCAGCCGAGCAGTATCACTGCCTGAATCAGGCAGGGGATTCACAAAAACAAATTACTAAAACATAAAACTAGAATTCATATACAATTTAATGAACTTTAAAAAACTAAATGAGATCAATCATTTTCATTTATGAATCAGTAAATACCCAAAAAGCACATTAGCTTGTGTAAATCGTCTCAGCTACCCTGCAATCCAAAATAGCTGGCCACCCACATGTGCCACAGCGGGGATGGGACACACAAACCGTACCTATGCCACACCACTGTTCAGACCTGACTGTATTAGGTGCTCAAACTGAAAATAGATCTCGCTGCTCATCCCAAGTGCTTGGGCAGTATTGCTCTCCAGTGTTCTCCTCACAAGCACGGGGAGCCCTGTATATACACAGAATGTAAGTCCTAGCCCAACTTCCTCCAAGTATTTATTCTATACAATTACAGTAGATCACTGAGGAGGTCCTTGCATTAAAAAACACAACCCAGAAACCTGTCGTTTAAAATGTCTGGTAAAGGGAAAAAACCTCTTAGCTTAGAAGTATAATTTGCTATTAGTTAAATGCAGATACTTTCCCCAGATGTTGGCAGTGCAAAGCATACTGTGTGTAAACATGAATACCCAAAGTGAAATGCTCAGGATCTTCTCTTGCTCCATCTTAGCAATAGTGACATCCCCCAAACTCCTTCAGATGTTGGTTTATCTCCTTGGACTTTGCAATTGCTTTCGGGAAGGAAAAGTTAAAAGACTTTGTGATAGCACTTCCATGGCTTCAAGCTGCGGCAGTGGCCTCGCAATCACTGGATCTAGGGCATCTCATAAAGGACGGCCATTATACTAAGTCCAGGTGGGATTTCCAGTGAAGAGGCAAATGTTGCAAGCCTGGCAACCATGTCAGGCATAGCAAGCAGGATATCCAGTCCAGACAGTAAATGGTCACATTTTTGAAGGGGACAGCTTCTGTTTTAGACGCCAAAATGAAGCAGCAGCGTTTTCCTGGAAGTTTCTTCACACAGAGAAAAAGGTCATTTTTCTCCATGAGAGCTGCTCGTGAAAGAACCCTTTTGAAAAATCCTGCCATTTCAGAGGTACCTGATGCTCGCTGAGCCCATCTAAAAACCTGACTGGGCTCAACAGTCTTGGCACTTTGCAAAATCTGTCCCCCAAAACCAAACATGCCTCCTACATCACCACTTCAACTTTGCAGGGGGATCTGGGCTATTTATTTTGCTATTGAAACTAGGAGTAGGACTTTTTGAGCTTTCTGCATTTTAATTTGCTGTGAAATATTTTGGGCATTTAAGTGAATAGAAACGAAGAGCATAATGTGAGAGACCACATGTTACTTTCGGAAATTAGGGAACTGGCACGAACAAAGCCCTGAAGTGTTACATACGTATATACCTATGTAACAGATTCAAAGTATAAAATTAGCACAGAAAAACTAGGAAATGGTGGTAAAATTAAGATAGGAAGTTCCTCCACTTGCATCCTGTGAAAGCAACAGATAGCCACCTTGACTTGGTAACAGATTTACTGTTCTACATGTTGTGCTTTCATCCTTGCCAAAATAAAAGGGAAACCATAAACTCATCGTAAACACACTCAGCAACACATTTTGTTTTGCACAGCTGCTAATGCATATGGGATAACTTTCTTTGGTGTTTATTGCACCTGAGTTCTATCACTTTAAAAGAAACTCATCAATCAGAAGAAAAAATTGCTGTAAATTTTGAAGAATGATCTGTGAGTTCAAGGTGGGTTTATAGTCAAGGTATTTAGGACATTTTGTACATTACATACTCAAAATCTGCAGCGAGGTGGGTTATTGTCCACATACACTAATGGCTTTCAGAGTTTAATCTCTCATCAGTGGACCTCCTTTTGTGAAATCCCTAAGGGATTATGTAGTACTATGTCTAATCACTTGACAAATTTCATTTACTTGAAACTGAAGCTAGGTTTGAATTCTACAAAGCATGCAGAAAGAATCAGATTCAAAGCAGGAAAACAAAATCTGGCACTGGACAGTACCAGGATTTATTATTACATTCACATCTGAACTGTTTAACAATAAATGAAACAATTCTACTTGGGGAAATGTGTTAGCTTTTATCAGCTGTATTTGCCTGTGAGATACACAGAGTGCTCAGAAATGACACACAACAGGTTCAAAAGTATACGACTCATGTAAAAGGGAAGAGTAATTTTAATAATTTTGTTACTCCTGTATCATTCAGCAAAAAAATACTGCTATGATCTGTACAGCAGTCTGCTACACTGAAGAGGGACATTTATTTGTCGTAAATTATATGCTACAGAAACAAAGCAGTCCTTTGCTAGTTGAATTTACCCTCTGAAGTTCAGCGCTTCAGACCAAAGAAATCACCTGTAAGGCTGGGATGGATGAAGCGCTGTCTCCCTACCACAGCAGCACGACCACAGAATCGTTCTCTCCATTAAGCAGCAATTCTCAGTGATTAAGGCATCCTGAAACCTAATGTTGTGAAACTCATTGCATTATTCCTCATTATCATAGCACAGACAGATCTCTACATAGGCAAAATTCGCCAGACAACACCATAGCAAAGGAAAAGGAATTTAAAATTAAGAGTAGAATTTGGCACAGAGATAACTACACAAAGGTTGTGTGCTATTCTAATCTATTATATGTTATTGTAACCCAGGTCTCCCACACTGCACTGCAAACCCTTGCTACACGGCTAGGCTCAATGAAAACACCAGATTATGGCTCTGAAAATGACATGCAAACACACAGGCACACGCTACCTCTGGAAACCAAATTTACCGAAATCCAAAGACACAGCAATAGCAAGACTTCTTTTACAAATACCATTTCAGGTAGGGTTACGACAGATTCAGAGCAAATACAGACGCAGACAGAAAGATTGCTGCTCTATTAATTTGTTGTCAAGCCATGCAGGAAAGGACGGCTGAAAGCCCGAAGATGCAGTAATGATTGTTTAAGAGCTATTCGAAAAAGTGACAAAACTGGCCTAAACCTCTTTAAGCCCCCAGAATGAAAAGATTTAAACAGGCTATTGTTAGACCCCTGGGTACCTTTTTTCTCTTGGCTTTGTTCTGCATTTTCCTCCGCTGCAGTTTCCATGGCTGGCTTCATACCATCCACCAAAAATGCCGCCCCCCCCTCCCCCCCCAGCAAGCACTTTTTCTCTTCGCCTCCTTTCTCACTCCCTTCCGTCTCCTATTTACGGCGGCGGTGATTGAGCGGCTCTGTTCTCCCCTACAGTAGATTACAGTCCTTTCCAAAACGCCAGAAAAGTCTTGTCAGCTTCAATTTCGCTCTGCTGACTGGTCCACGAGGAGCCGTGCCAGCGAGCGCTCAGCCATACGTCACCATGGTCCCCAGCTATAAAATAGCCATCCTGCTCCCAACCGTGCCCCGGTTCGCCGCGTCGTGGGGACCAGCACCACCAGCTCGAGCCCTCTTCCCCTCACCCCCTCTTTCCCCCTGACTCCCAAGGCTCCTGACAAATGTTAATCAATTCTCCGGGCGGTGAATGGATTGGTGACACCGGGAGGGGAGATGCAGGCGAGAAAGAAAGGAGCCCCCCGGCCACCATGGGGTGAGCCCCCCGGCTGCTGTCTCTAAGGGGAGTGCACGCCAGCACACAATCGCTAGGCTCCCTTTCCCATGGGACCTCGTTATTATGCTTTGCATTTTGATTTATTCCACATGCCCTCTGCTCTTTCAAGGGGCGGGGGGCCACGGGTCTGTTCTCTCTGTTTGCTTTCTTTGCTGAGTAAGTTCCGCTCACCCACAGCAAAAGACTGTGTGAGAGAAGCATAACAGCAAAAGTGGGTATATATATATATATATGTAGATGGAAAATTTAAATTCTTTCTCTTACTAGCAAGTATGATGGAAAAAAAAAAAGCACAAAAAAAACCAAGCCAGCAGAAAGGAAGCAATCTCAAGTGACCTAAAATCCACGTGCGATACTTCAAAGGCTAAAATGTTTAAGAAAACACAGCTCGGGTTTTAAAAGGATGTCTGCCATTAGAGACCTAAAGCCATGCTTAGAAGCGAGAGCAGAGTTGCTGTTCAGCATGTGTTTGATCACTCCCCCTAAACCCAGATAGACTGCAGCACGATCTAACAAGCTGTGCTATCCTGGCTCTGGGAGCAAAAAAAACCAGGACATGTCTACGTTGCGCTGTGTGAGCTGACTTCAGGTGTCCCCAGCCCGCTCTGAGTGGCTCCGTGCTGGGGAGCCACAGAGCAGGGCAACACCACAGGGGGGTATTAATTCACCTTCCAAACCCCACGATAACTGACATATTTAAGGCTGCACAGTACCGAGGCTAATTAACCTTGCCTATCACTTTGCTTGTCTCAACGGCCTCACAGTGCGCCCCGCTGCACAGGGCAGACATGCCCAAAGGCACCCCTTTCTGTGTGTAGGATGATGGAGCAACCAGGGAGTAATGGCCTTTGCGGTCTGGAAGGCTTTGCTGGTCCAAGCCGCTGCTGCCGGTTCTGCAGGCTGCAAAGATGCCTAGCAGATTCAGCAAATGCTGGGGATGTTAAAACCTACACGCTCCATGTTCCATATAACAGATTCAACCAGGAGAGTGGGAAGAGGGAAGCAGTCCAAAGATTTGTAGCTGCAATCCAGCCTCTTCTGGTTAAAGTTACTACACCCACAATTTTGCTGTGCATTTTTATTTCTAGAGATGCCTAGTGAAAAGCACAAAAAACCTCAGACCCAACCTTTAGAGAAAGTTCCCTTCCCTTGCAACATATCAGTGCACAAATCCCCTTCTCTCACCACGGTCACCATAGTTGTTACTTTGCTTTGGTCACTACTGCTCAGACATATGCTTCAGCCCAGCGGCCAAGAGGTCTTGGACTTATCCTAAGGTTTCATATCAGAGCATCAAAATTTGATGTAAGCATGTGCCTAAAAAGCTTCCTTGGAGCCCAGGAAAAGTCTGCAGTTGAAGCTCCCACCTCAGCAGAGCTTTTTATGAGCAGGATTTAGTTAATTTTTAGAGGAGATGAAGTATCCTCAGGAACCGACACGAGGCAACGGTTTGGGTTTCTGAAGGCAATCAAATCAGCAGCTCCAACAGAGACCTCAACCCAGTTGCAAGGTGTGTTTCTCCAATCTCCTTCTCCAACGGCCACGCATCAGTCCATACACATATTGAAACCCCTGCCCGTCAAGACCATGTACTGCAAATGCATTCCCTGAAGGAAGCATCTGACGGGCTGGAAGCATCTAACAGGCTGGGAGACTATTTCCCCTACTTTCTCCCACGATAACCCCTTCCCCAAACAAGCAATGTAGAAGTCAGTGCACAATACCAGAATCAACTTCACACGAGCTTGAACTGAAGACTTCAGAAACCGTCAATCCCAACTATTCCAAAGTATTAACTCTACCTACTAAATCATCCTCTAAAAGCTTCATGTGATGCACGAGTGTAAAGTTCTCCCCCCTCCCTTCTTACTACTTTCCAGATTACTGTAATATATGATGGGTTTTAAGCACTTATCATCTTAAGCCATTTCTTAATCTCCAAACCTCTGTCCCATCTTTGATAAACACAGCAGATAAACTATATGCTATTTCCTCCAGTGCTAACATGGGCGCTGATCTTGCGCTTCAAGCATTAATCTCAGCCAGCAATTTGTCTCATCCAGTGCTCCCTCCCTTAATCAGATACATCCTTTTCATAATATGTGATGAGAATGGCAGACATTAAGACTATGCCTATGACAACATGGCAAAAGACAAAGCCACAGAGGCAGAAATTACAAAAAAGTATTTAAAGACTGATATTCAGCAAAAACCTGCTGTACAGACCAGGCTGATTATGACAACCAGCAACCAGGGAAGGTGGCTAGTTACATTTCAGGAGTTCAGGCCAGCATTTTGTTTGCAGACCAAAATAAAAATTAAAATGAGGAGAGGGGCTGAGCAGTAAGGGTTTCTGCTGCTAAAGCACAGCTCTGAGACTAAAGCCAAACCTCAGGATGAATAGCAGTGGAGCAAGTATGTGAAGGCACTGCAGACCAAGGCACATGCACTGCAAAAGTTTTTAAAAGAGAGGCTTTCATCTATTTTATCTAGGTTTTAAATAAACATTTAACCCATTTGCTCAGTCAAGTAAAATAGCACAATTGCACAAGTTAAAAAAGGTATTAAAAACCCAATTCTGTTCATGTGCCAATTCCTTTTGAACATCTATCTTTAATGTCACTGAATCTAGTTTACATTCCTGAAGGCTGAGGAGCTCAATCATAAGCTACAGCAAATTCTTCACCAGCTTTCAGGAGATGAATACACACTTGCCATTTCTACAAAGGCTTCACAGAGCTGTAATAAAGAGTGTTCTCACATACTTCAAGAGCAACTTGAGATCAGCCTATGAGATCCGAGATTCAGAAGTTAAAATACAGAGACTGTCCCTCAAACAAGACTGACATGTATTCCAAACAACTAATTTTAAGGACAACTTGTGGAATTTTTATTTTTTTTTTTTTTAGAAAATATGCAAAAATATTCAAGAGAAAGAACAAACACACATGCAGCTACTTGGTGCGTAACTGCTTATGTTCAGCCCAGCTTTAGACCAGTTACCTAAGACTTGAGTATAAAACCCAATCTGAATGCTTATGCAAAAGCAAGCAAATTTTCCATGTGGATAAAATCAAAGCATGAAACAAAGTTTTGGTTGTGCAGCATATACCTGGCAAATACTTCAAAAAAAACCTGGGGCCCGTTCTTTCAGGCATATTAAATTACTAGGAAAATGAAATCTAAATTAATGAACAAATAACAGTGGAAAAAACCTGCACTTTTACCACAGTATAAAACATAAGACTATTAAAACACATCAGTCTGCACTTGGATTTCTGTAGAAAGGGCAAGCGTGGATAGTGGTTATCTTTGCAACCAAAGGAAATCACTGCGTTAACTGATGCAGGTAAGTCCAGGGTGAGCACACCATAACAGAGTGAAGGTGCCAGTCCTGTGACCCCCTGATAAAGGCACATGAAGATGGCAATAACTGCTGCCAAGCCAAATGCCTGGAGGCAAGCAGGCAGCCAAAGTAGAAGTCGCTCCGTTGTTGGGTTTCATACATTCCTCTGGCCGGCCTGCTAGCTTCCAGCTGGACCACTGCTTTAGTCCGCTGCAGTCACGGCCACCGGCAAGAATCAAAGGCGATACACAGTCTAAATCCAGAACATACACGGATGGCTAACCTTTATTTGGAAAATAAAGCGGAAAAATAAAATCCCTTAAAGAGTGAATAGATGGTTCTGTACGGCTTTTCCAATAGCTAAGCCTCATCGAGTCCTAGTCTCAAAAAATGGCAGAGATGTGAAAGCTACCAAAGAAAAAAAGCCTGAAGAGCTATAACCAAAGTCAAAACGAAAGCAAAAGTTGACGATGTTCTTAAGCAGCTGGGAGGTCCATTTCTGCTTAGGAAAGACGGTGAACAGTGCAGAAGTGATTAAAAGAAATGCCAGATATTATTTTTTTATCCTAACTGATGGCTTTAGTAAGGTTTACCTGCGTGTGAGAAACTTGTATTTAAAGAACAGACCTAGGGAAAATAATTCAGAACCCTGACAGAACATGGTAATCTCAACCACACAGAAGACTTTTGAGGAAAAGCAATAAAAATTAGAACAAAACTGAGCTGGAAGCTACATCACCTCCTGCACACCTCTCCTGCGAGGCTGCCTGGAGTAGCACCACGCTCTTTGCAAGCCAGAAAGAAATATGCTGACAAATTGAAGCCCATTTTTACTACAGCTGAAAGACCATGGAAATACAGGAAACAAAAGCAAAACCATCCTAGCGTCTACCTCAGAAGCAGCTTTCATTCAACAAGCAATGTTCAGGGCACCAGCCCTGATGGTCGTCTTCAGCTTCTAATCCAGCTCAACCATTTTATGGCGGTATGTATAGTTCCCTGCAAGTGTAATGCACAGCACTTTTCAAATGCTTTAAATTTAAAATCAGGCAGCAAAACAAGGCTTTGAGTTACCCAACCTCATATACATTTTCTGTTAGCAGTGGCAACATGCTCACATAAATTACTAATATATGAAACCCTTCAACAGTGCTTCAAACGGTCCTC